TGTAAAACTACTGTTTGGAATTCTCTGCTATTCTTTAGACGGCCTCTTATTCTGAAAAAATAACTTTGCTTTCTAGCCCGCTTTAGCCTGCTTGAATAATGAGGAAGATAAACTTAGCTGTCTGACCTTGTAGGCCAGAGACTAGATACGCCCAATGCCATGAGAACTGAGAACTGTATAGTTTTCAAGGCCGCCAGCAAGATAACCACTAAGCGCACAAAGGGCTGGCTCTTCCATAAAAAGGGAAGTTCTGCTTGTAGCTTTGCTTAGAATTTGGGTTCATTTCCCTAAGCCCACCGTGGTGAATAAAGTGTAACTCCAAACTCTCAGAGCGTTGCTTGGTTCTTCTCCGGTTTTTCTGTAACAAGACGAGCTTTTCTTTCTTCTACGGTTTCTTTGGGCTGAGCCCTTCTATTGATAGTTGCTTTTGCTATAGTATGCCTGCACTGGTCAATGGTTTTTGACTTTTCTATCTGTTTGATATTAGAAGATGAAGCAGGCCTGGCTATCATTTCAGATGTGATGCTTCTTGATACTGTCTTATTTCTTTTTACTTCTTGAGAAGAAATGGTTTTGACACTAGATAAAACTGTATTTAATTGTAGTAATTCTTTCTCATGAGACCCTTTCCGAACTGTAACATTGGCAATGCCTTGTTTCAGGGAGTCCTGGGTATTATGAGTATTACTGTGGTGACTTCTAATAGGAGGACGTAAAAGATGTTCCTTCTGAGATGTAGCCCTTGCAAATTTAGTCGTAGTCATCATATTTGAGGCTCTGTGACTTTTTGCTGTTACACTGCTGGTGTTTCTAGGCTTAGGTTTTGTGGCCTTAGAGATAGGAGTTGAAAGTTTCTTTGTTATTGCAGAATGCTTCGACTTGTACAGGTTTTCTAAATGAATTAACCTTAGATTGGACAATTTGGCCACGATAGGATCCAAGCACAGGTTTCTTGAGCACATTAGCATCTTGCTTTGGTTTTTCTGTAGTCACTTGTTTCTTTTTATTATTGTTTTCAATGTGAAATGCTTTGCTTACTGTCATACGTTGACTTTGGCGATCATTTGTGATTGGTAACAACTGCAGAGTTTGATTATTATCTTCAAGTTATATGTATCAGTGGCTATAGTTGAATTGGTTAATTCATTAGAAGGTTTTAATGGAGTACAATTTTTTCCCATTGTTACATTATTTTTGCTCCATGTAGGTCTATGGACATTTTCTTTATCAGCCTAAAAGAGTAATTTGAAACAAATTAGTATTTCAGAATTCATTTCTTTCAGAAAGAGTTTAGGAGAAGGAAAGGGGGGAAAGGGGCAGTTTTGAGGACTATGTCCATATCTTACCATTTCTGTCTTAAGTTTCAGAACTTTTGGTGGTTCTCAACCTTCCTAATGCCGCGACCCTTTAATACAGTTCTTCATGTTGTGGTGACCCCCAACCATAAAATTATTTTCGTTGCTACTTCATAACTGTAATTTTGCTACTGTTATGAATTGTAATGTAAATATCTAATATGCAGGATGTATTTTCATTGTTACAAATTGAACATAATTAAAGCATAGTGATTAATCACAAAAACAATATGTAATTATATCTGTGTTTTCGGATGGTCTTAGGCGACCCCTGTGAAAGGGTCGTTCGACCCCCAAAGTGGTTGAGAACTGCTGCTTTAGAGGTTTAAGGAAAAGGAAGACTTATCTATAGTTATAGCAACCAGAAGTGGCCGCCTTTAGGGTAGCAACTTACTGGAAGGGGGTTCCTAGGGAATATATTAGGGTAACAAACATGTTTTACATGGCTGTACACATTTACCAAAACTCACTGCATTGTACACCTAGGATCTGTACGCCTCACGGTATGTGAAGTTTGTCTCAATTAAAAAACAAAACAAAACAAAAAGACTGCCACACACCTACTAGAATGGCTTTAAAAGCAAAACCCATACCCAAGTGCTGAAGAGGATGTGGAACCACTGGAACTCTCGTAGATTGCTGGTGGGAGTGCAACATGGAAAATAGTTTGGCAGTTTCTTATAAAATTAAACAGGGACTTACCATATGACTCAGCAAGCTCACTTCTAAGTGTTTACCCAGAAGAAATGAAATATGTCACACCAAGACCTGTATGTGAATGTTTACAGAGAGAGGCAACAGGGGTTACAGTCGGGAGGCTATTTGCAATGTCCTAGCTGATGGGAATGGAGATGAGTAGTTAAATACATAGTATGCTCTAGAGGTAGAGTCTAAGGTTGTTGGTCGTGTGAGAAGGAGAGAGAAATCAAGAATGATGCTTAGGTTTGGTACTGGCACTGGATGGGTGGCAATGTCCTTTGTGGAACCATGGAAGACAGGGAAGAGGAGGCTGGGAGAGGAAAGTCGAGAGTTCTTTGCTATCCATGGTAAGACTGAGTGTTTATCAGACTTTGTGGACACCTTAGCCATACATTTTCGGAAAAGATGCTTCCAACTTTTATTGTCAAAATATGAGCTCTCAGTGCTGTGATGCTAGGTGGCGGCAGATGCACCTCCTTGAAGTTGGGATAGTAGAGTCAGGAATAGGCTTATGACACGCAGATTTAGATATACCCTAAAGTTTTCTGTATTGCTGTGCACACAGCAGATAGAATAGGAATATTCAGGATGAGATGAAGTCATAAACAGTTCAATCCAAGCAAAATGGTGTGGTCACCTGAGTGGAGGTTATAGGACAGTGATGGCGAACCTATGACACGCGTGTCAGAGGTGACATGCAAACTCACTTTTTTGGTTGATTTTTCTTTGTTAAATGGCATTTAAATATATAAAATAAATATCAAAAATATAAGTCTGTTTTACTATGGTTGCAAATATAAAAAAACTTCTATATGTGACATGGCACCAGAGTTAAGTTAGGGTTTTTCAAAATGCTGACACGCCGAGCTCAAAAGGTTCGCCATCACTGTTATAGGAGCTGTAGGCTTGAAGATTAGATGCTGATATGATTTCCATTCAGGGAGGTGGGCTAATAGGGCCATTCCTTATTAGTTATCTATTAACATAACAACCCCAAATTTAGAGGCTTAAAATGACAATCAATGTTTATTATCTCACAGTGTCTGTGGATCAGGAACTTGGGAGCAGCTTAGTGATCTTTCTATTTTTGAGTAGGAAGGAACTGCTTAGTTTTGAGGTGGGGTATCTCAAAAGGTCAAACTGTTGGCCAGGGCTGCAGTTATCTGAGGGGGTTAGAGAATGTGTTTCCCAGATGGGTGAGTAATATACACGGCAAGTGAATGCTGGCTGTTGGTTGGAGGACTCAGTCCTTACCACACACACCTCTCCCCAGGGCTGCATGAGTAGCTGGCTTCCTCCAAGACAAGCAAGGTAGCAACAATGTCTTATGAGCTGGCGTCAGAAGTGTCTCTCCATCATTTTCACACAGTCCTATTGATTACATAGGTCAGCCCTGTTCAGAATGGTGTATCTACTCAGGAGGCATTGGGGGCCATTTTGGAGGCTGGGAATGTCTCCTTTTTAAGTTTTGGGGTAATGACATATTGAGTATAAAGGGACTCATCTTGGTAATGGTGTCATGAGCAAAATTCCCCTAGGTCAGTGGTCGGACTCATTAGTAGTCAATGGAGCCAAATATCAACAGTACTTCTTCAAAATAGACTCGCCCAGGCCGAAAACCGACTTCTGCGCATGGGCCATAAAGTTTCAATCACACTGTACGCGTGCCCGCACGTGGTATTTCATGGAAGAGCCACACTCAAGGGGCCAAAGAGCCGAATGTGGCTCATGAGCTGCAGTTTGCCAACCACGGGCCTAGGTCATTGTTTTCCTTTGGCCAATGGAATGTAAATATAAGTGACCTATGCCACATCCCAGCAGAAGTTTTAGGAGTCATTGCAAGGTTCAGCCATTTTTCCTTCCGTCTCTAGAATGACACAAGGGCTGCTCCTTCAGTCTGAGATAGACAGTGAAGACAGAACAGAACCTCAAGTGACCTGCAGCTGCCATTTAACATGAGTGAGAAATAAACCTTTGTTGTTGGCGTGTTGGCAGCTGTCGAGATTATAGGAGTGATTTCTGCTGCATAGCCTAGCCTATGCTGACTAATAATCTTTTGCTTATGATATAGACAGACTCATTTGGGACACCTTGAAGGGGAGGATGGGTTTTGTGGTAAGGATATCCACAAGATGCATCAAAACCCAGGTCGTCTTAGGGCTAAGCGTTAGTTAGTGGTCAGGGGAAGCTGCCATAATAAAGAGACTCCAAAATAAAAGTCTTAAAGAAGATACACTCTCAGAAAACAGTGCAGAGGCAAGTGGCGAATCCAGGGTGTCAGGCAGTTCAGCTCCATGAGGTTGCCCAAAAGTCTAGGTTCCTTCCAATTTGTTGCTCCTGCTCTCCTCTGTGGTGTCCTCGTCTGCACCATGTCCACATCCTAGCCTGCAGGAAGGAGGAGAGAGGAGGGACAGCCAGTGTTCCTTTTCAGGTTGTGCAGAGACCTTGCCCACACCACTCACAGTCCATTGACCAGATCTAAAACAGGAGGCCATAGCTAAAACAGGAGGCTGGGAAAGTAGTTTCTAGCCAGGTGGCCATGTGCCATGATGAAATGCACAGGGGACTTCCGATTAGTGAAAGGGAAAAGGCACCATTCCTTGGTGGCTCACACAGGCTTACGGTCTAGCAGCGAAGCCAGGATTGGGAAACATTGTTCTACTCATTGCCTTCAGCTCTTCCAATGCTCATTGGAGTCTGAGGCTCTAGGCTGCACCTCTACTGTCCCTCTAACACAAGCATGTCAAACTCACGGCCCGCAGGCCACATGCCTCATTTATTTGGCCCGTGTTAGCCTTTGAGTTTGACATGCTTGCTAGAGTCTAACACAATGACCACAATTTTATGATCCTGAAATGGAGCAAAATGGAAAAAACATAGGAGTCGTTGGACTTGGCATGCCATTTTCTAGCTGAGTGACACTGGACAAATCACATATAGGAGATATCTTCTCTTTACTGCCAGTCCAGTATCTCAGTTCTAGAGATGGCTCTGTCCCTCTTGTATCCACAGGGCCAGGACAAGAGCCCAACACACCAGTAACTCCCCCCACCCCTATGCCACAGGTGATTGGTCAGGGCAGGCACCTGACCCAAGCTGAGCCAATCACTTCCTACCTCCATGATCCTGGACTAGAAGTTGGGAGGACTATGTGTGTCTAAGTATGGGTCCTGGGAAATGGAGTACCTGGTAATTATTGAATGAATGAATGAATGAATGAATATGCCTCTAAATCCTTTATAGGGTTTGGTAAAAAGAAAGATAACGATAAGTAACATTTATTGAGCACTTAGTATTCTAAGATTTTGTATGTATTAAATCACTAATCAAATCAATGTACTGAATATTACTATTGCCTTTTATAGATAAGCTACTGAAGCACATTAAATCACTAATCAAATCAATGTACTGAATATTACTGTTGCCTTTTATAGATAAGATACTGAAGCACAGAAAAGTTAAAAATACCCTTTGTAATACTTTAAGCAATAAAAAAATAAAAAAGATACTGAAGCACAGAAAAGTTAAAAATGTTGCCCAAGTTCACTGGGTTAGTGGCAAAACTATTGCAAATGTAAGCAGCCTGGCTCTAAGGCCCCCACACTCGACCACTGCACCAGACAGCCTCTGCCATCAGCAGCCCATGCGGACTTAAGAGAATTGGAATCTCTGGTGGTGGGACCCTGGAATCTGTATGGGAACAAGTTTCACAGGTGATTCTGATGCACAGCCAGAACTAGACCTAAAACTGTGAGTCTAAAAAGTAGCGGTAAGCCTGGGGCCATGAGACTAGAATAAGGCTGCTTCCAGGATTTTAAAATTGATCTGATCATGTGAACATAAGGCCTCCCAAATAATATTGACTAATTGTATCCTCTTTGTGAGGAGGAAACTCAAACTCAGATCAATTACAAAGAACCCTCCGGGGACCTGCTAGCAGAGGACCAGCTCAGGGGACCTGCCTCTGAGACATTTGCCTACGGGAGTCCTGCCGCAGGCCACTGTTCTGGGGAGAGCCTGGACTGTGTACCTGCTTACTTCCTGGACTTTGATCTCCCATCTGACCTCCTTCTCACCCCTGCTCTGATCTGGCAACTCCTGCTGGGTTGACCCCATCTCTGACCCCAGCCTGCCCCAGTTTTCAGCCTCACTGCTCCAGGCTGATATCTCACATGATGACAGCTCCAGGCGGGACAATATTGGGATCAGCCCGTGATAATGGGAGCAAGACATCTCTTCTAATAATGTAGTGACAAATGGACGTGTCAAAAGACCTGTGACTTCCAGAGTAGAGTTCAGGTATCTGAAACCAGCTCTGCAAGCATCCCAGAATGTGGGATTTAGAAACAGTGAGAAATAAATAGCCCTTGATACTAACTGGAGCAACGGCTCTTTCATTCATTGAACAAATGGTTATGGAGAGCCGATGCCATGACGGTTTCTGTGTTAGCACCAAGGGCAAAAAAGATGAACAAGACGTTGTCTCTGCCCCTGAGGAGTTCCCTCACGCCCAGTGCTGCTGTGGCACCTGGAAGAAGATGCTTCAAAGATTAGCCAATGAATTGGACCACAGAGAAGAGAGGCTGCAGGATTGCATTTTCAGAGGGGAAATGATTCTAGCTTTGTCTGAGGTTCCAAAGTCCCTCAAATCCTGGACTGGTCTATGGAAGGTTGGGGGAGCTGGTAATGAGCCTCGGGACACAAACACCTTAAAAAACAACAACACTTAGATCTGTCTGTGCACCAGAGATTCAGGCCCGGGCCTTCTTGGTAGGCATCAAAAGGGCTCAGGGTTGGGATATCCCATTCCCCATTTTGTCTCTGCCTATATTCTCATTTGGTGTGTCCTTTTAGACAATTTACCTTCCCTCTTTGGGCCTCAGTTTCCTCAGACCATTTCTTTTTTCCTTTTGAATGCTCAGCTCCTCAAGGAGTGTTTGATAAATGTTTGTTGAATGAGTGAATGAACCTCTGAAGTCCCTTCCAGGTCTGATAGTGTGAGTCTGTGAGCTGGAGACATCTTTGGGAAAGAATGGGATTGGACAGAAAGAAAAGGTTTAGTCCCACTCCCACGGGATCCTGGGCCACACTCCACTATGCAAGTATGATCTGCCCCTTATGGATCACCTCTCCTTTCTCTTAACCCCTTGCTTCGTTTTCCATCTCCTCTGCACTCCCTTCTACCCCAAACATATTATTGTGGGTTGAATTGTGTCCCCCCAGGAAAGATATGTTCAAGTCCTAACCTCCAGGACTTGTGGATGTGATCTTATTTGAAAATAGGGTCTCTGGAGATGTACTCAAGTTAATAAGAGGTCCTACTGGATTAGAGTGAGCCCCACTCTATCAGGACTCCTGTCCCTCTAAGAAGAGGGGAATCTGAACACATACACACAGGGAGGATGCCATGGGATGAGGGAGGCAGAGGCTAGAGCAGGGGTGGGCAAACTTTTTGACTCGAGGGCCACAATGGGTTCTTAAACTGGACCGGAGGGCCGGAACAAAAGCATGGATGGAGTGTTTGTGTGAACTAATATAAATTCAAAGTAAACATCATTACATAAAAGGGTACGGTCTTTTTTTTTTTTTTTTTTTTAGTTTTATTTCAAACGGGCCGGATTCGGCCCGTGGGCCGTAGTTTGCCCACGGCTGGACTAGAGTGATGCTGCCACAGCCAAGGAATGCCAAAGACTGCTGGCAACCACCGGAAGCCAGGAGAGAGGCACTGAACAGATTCCCCCTCTGCGCCCCCAAGAAGGAACCAACCTTCCCAACACCTTGATTTTGGATTCCAGGCCCCCTGAATTATGAGAGAATAAATCTGTGTAGTTTTAAGCCACCCCGTTTGTGGTATTTTGTTATAGCAGCCCCAGGAAACTAATACAAGTGAATCTTGAACAGTGTGGGGGTTAAGGGCACTGATCACCCGCACAGTTGAAAATCCACAAATAACGTAAGTCAGCCATCTGCCTGTGCGGATTCCCAACAGAGGATGGAAAATACAGTTGACCTTTGAACTTACACATGGAAAAAGTGGATTGGCACTGTTCAAACCGCATTGTTGAAGGGTCAACTGCATATCTATCCAAGGCCATTATTGGGAAATCACCCCACTGATTCAGGTTAACAGTGCCCTACACAGCACCGGTGCCCCTGACATCTCCCCAAATGTTCATTGAGGCTGAGTCATTGCTGTGCTCATTGCAGATCTCTGAAAGGAAGAAGCCTGACTCTCCCATCAGGAAAGGAGGAAGGCCTTCCACGTGGTCATTTAGCAGGAAGAGGATGCTAGGGGGGTGGGGAGGAGGGTGACCAGCTGCTTTAATTCCCAACTGGGGACAGCCCAAGAAAAAAAGGGGGCTTTCATCACTCTGATAGGCTATCACAATCTTTTACTTTCACTCATTCAGTAAATACATGTGCCGCATTTACTGTGCTGGGCGCTGCTGGGTGCTGGTGGGGAGCGTGGGTATATGGATGGGGGAGAAATGCTAAAGAAATAAAACACACATTCCCTGAGTTCTATGAACCAAGCTGGAGTTGGAGCCCTGTGGCATGGTGGGTCAATTAGCATGGACTTGGGAATCAGACCGTCTTGGTTTAAATCCTGGCTCTGACAGGGACTTCCACTGTGATCTTGGAAAAGTTACCTAATCCCTCTGGGCCTTCATCTTATTGCGAGTAATTAGATAAGATGATGTACTAGTATTCAGCACAGGGCCAGAGTACGTGCTCAATAAATGTTAGTTATTTTCATTAATGTTCACCAGAAACAGCTCAGTAAAAGAGCAAGGTGATTTTGATCAAACAGGACCTCTGTCCAGTTCAGGCCCTCAACACCTCTTGCTGGACACGGATGAAATGCTTAGAACAACTCCAGGAGGAAACTAGTCTCATTTTGCGAATAATGTAAGTGTGGTTCAGGGTGTAAAATAACTTGGCCAAGCTCTCAGAACAAGGAATGTGAGAGGCAGAGTTGAAACTAGAGCTCCCAAGAATGCATTCTTCCTATTTCTGGGCAATGCTTACCAGTATTTGTAAGTCAGAGTGGGCTGGGAGCAGCATATGATTAGGAAGGGGCCTAAAGCATTTCTCTTAAGGCTGTGGTTACCTCTATAGGAAGTACACTGTATTGGACTTACATGTTTGTTTAATGCATATCTAGTGCTTACTATTGGGTGTTCTAAGCACTTTATGTTAGGAACTCATTTATCTTCACAGGAGCCTATAAGACGGACACTGTATTATTCCCATTTCACAGATGTGGAAATAGCGACGCAGCGAGGTTAAGCAACTTTCCCAAGGTCACAGATAGTAGTGGAAGCAGGATTCACACTTGCTTATTCGGCTCCATAGACAACGCTCTTAGCCACTGTTCTATACAGCATTATCTTGAGGGGGGGGCACTGTTGACATGTATGCATAGGGGAAGGAAAGAGGGTTACTACCCCACATGCAAGCCACCCTTT